TTTGGGTTTTTTGGGGGTTTTGGGGTTTTGGGGGGAGTAGGGTGAAGGGTTCCTTTAATGATTACTATGAGGTACTCGGATAGGTTTGGGGTGGTTTATGGGGTTGAAGGGTTCCTTTTTGACGATTCCAATAAAGATTATAACGGTGATGTAAGGGGTTCAGGATTTAGGAAATTTAGGGCTTAGTATGGGGTTTAGAGTGTAGGCAACCTGATGCAACCATGATTTTACTGAATGATCTTACGCCCTGAAGACCATGGCACAAACTCTAAGTTCAAAGCCCTCAAGATGTGTGAGCACCAGGCTTTGCACCATCAACCGTGAAACTCAACTCAGCCAGCATGAACTCCCTCGACCATCCGTTCCAAAGCCTACTTCTATTTCTAGGCTGTGGGGCTTCCCGAATCTTAGAACCCTCAACCAAGGATCCTAAACCCTACGTAGTATAGGGGCCTTAATAATTAGAATAGGGGTTTTGGAGGTCTATTGTACTACAAATATGGAACCCCAAAAATAGAATTGGTAATTAATTACCAGAAGCGCTCATCTCGGGTCCTACAGCTACAGCTCCCACTAAACCAACATGGAACTCCCAAGTGGGCATAGCAAGACTCGCTGGACACATGGATCCCGAGGCTTAGAGTTCAGGATTGTGCAGGTGTTTAGGGTTTAGGGTTTAGGGGTTTAGTGTTTAGGGTCACAGCTGATGATTTGGTGTTATAAGCGTGTTCAGGGCATGCGACTTTGGGCTATAGTATAGGCTATGGGCCTAAACAAAAACCAATAAAGTCATAGGAATCGTGCGACATGTCTACTAGCTGTAAGCCCCGTCTGTGCGGTCCAACGGGGTGGAACCAGCGAGCAGCTGAGTGTTCTTGCAGTGTGAAAACAAGTGTCGGGAGCTCATGCCCGAAGCTGCAGACGTCTGCGATCCGTAGAGCTGTGCTCAAGTCTGCATAGAAGCAGATAGTACCAGATTCTCATCCGGTGTGCTCGGTCATCGCGGGGAGGCCCTGGCATCCGAGTCTTTCGATGTCCATGGGTGGCCACACCCGTAAGTCCTGTCGCTAAGGTCATGGCCGCCGAGGACGTCGACTCCAAAAGCAACCTTGCCGCCTTGAGCTGGGCTCTCTCGATCAAGCCGGAGTGGTGCCAGAGGTCCTTCACGAAGGCAAGTCGTGGGAGATCCGAAGCACAGCTTGCCGCAAGCATCTCGGGCAGCGCATTGGCATTGCACAGGCCGGCAGCGGCACGCTGGTGGGGGAAGCCACGGCGTTGGAGTCCAGGCCCGTGACCGCGGAAGACCTGGAAGCAGCACGGCATCTGCATCAGATCGCGGACGTGTCACAGATCCCGTACTCCAAGCCGCATGCCTGGATCCTGGGAGACGTGCTTGCCTACGACAAGCCGGTGCCATACTCGCACCCCGCGGGGTGCGTGAGCGTCTGCTTTGCACTGGCTTGTGAGTGCGTCACCGCCGTTCGCCTCAAGCTCCAAGCCCTCCGATCCCACAACCGCCGAGTACCCACCATGGCAGGTCTCGGCAACCTGGTCCGCGCCCGAGCCGAACTGGCCAGTTGGCCACAGTTCGAAGGCCACTTTGAGGCGGAGGAGGCACGGGTGGAGGAAGGACTAAGGCCAAGGCCAAGGTCCGGCCCAAGAGGACTTCGGAGGAGGAAGCGGAGAAGAAGAAACGGCAGCGGGCCAAGCGGGCAGTGAAGTGGCCGGCGGAGGTGGCGGCAAANNCTAAACCCTAAACCCAACCCTTAAAGGAGCCCTCCAAAAGCCCCCCCAAACTCGCGACCCGCCAGGTCGAGGCGGCCCGTGTGCGTGACCTTGAGGTGCTACAGGCGTGGGTCCGGATTAGGGGGGGGGGGGGGGGG